TATATATTTTTGAAATTAATTATTGTATTTGTTTTTTCTATATAACATTTTTATTTAATAAATATTTTTTTAAAATTAATTTAATATTATTTATTAAAATTTATTTATCAATAAATATTTATTTTGTAATTTTTATCACATTGTTTTATATTTTGTTTAATTTTCAAATATTACTAATAACTATTTGTTTTTTTTATTAATTTAATTATTACACAAAATATTTTACTGAAAAAATTACTATTTATTAATTTTTGTTGAAATATAAGTTGAAAATATATTTTTTTCAAATATATTATTTTTATAATTAATAATTAATATATATGATTATTAAGGTTATTGCTATTGACTTATTTTTATCTAGCTATATATAATTAATAATTTAATTGTATATTTATAAATATTTTTTTTATTGTAAGTCAATAATATTATAGTACACATGTTTTAAGTATTAATAGATAGTCAATGAACTAAACAACAAATTATTATTAATATTTATTTAATTGAAGAAAAAAAATTAATTTTATAATAGTGTTACCAAATAATAAATTAATTGATTACTTTTATTATTATTATATTTATTATTATTATTATATTTATTATTATTATTATATTTATTATTATTATTATATTTATTATTATTATTATATTTATTATTATTATTATATTTATTATTATTATTATATTTATTATTATTATTATATTTATTATTATTATTATATTTATTATTATTATTATTATTATTAAACATTTAATATGATAATAATTTTCTAATTGAAATTTTAAAAATAATTAAACATATATATAATATTTTATTACTAATATTATTTAAAAAAATAAATAATTAGGTTTATTGTATTTAATTAAAATACTATTTAATTTGATATATTTTTTTAAAAAAACTTAATGCTTAAGTACTAATGTACTAAACATTTTTTTGGACTAAATATTTATATTAAAATATTACTTAATTGTTATTAATGTTATTCAAAAAAAAAATTACAACATTTTTTAAAAAATAATAATAATACTAATATATTAATATCTGAAATCAAATTATAGAAAACTTACTGTAATAATGAAATTAATTAATTAATAAATTATTATTATTATTATTATTTATAATATTATTTTAGTTTTTATTAAGTGCAATTGTTTAGCACAAAAAAACTACACCGGATATTGAGTAATGAAAAAAATGTATTAATTAAATATATATATATTATAATTTTGTATTATTATTAATTGATCTATGATTACATTTTAGTTTTATCACATATATAAAATTGTTTATATATATATATATATATAGATATACATGTATATATACTGTATAATAGAAATAACTATATATATATATATATTAATTTTATTGTTATCATATTTTTTTGTTTGAAACTTAACTATAGTTAATAATGATAAAAATATTTATCATTCAAAAAAAATTATTATTATTACTATTAGTATTAGTATTTAGTTTTACAGTTAAACACTTTGATAGTATATTAACATTGAAAATTAAAAACAAAAATATTATAACTTTTTTTTTGTTAATTTTATTTCATCAAGTAAAAAAATCTACTATATTATGATATTTATTAATTAATAAAAAATATTAAAATTTTTTCATTAATTAATTTATTGCCATTTATAAGCTCGTGTAGCTAATAAAGTTAGCATGATGATTTTGCATTTTAAAAAAATAAATAATTTTTTTTACACACACACACACACATACATACATAGTTTATTGAATTATAACCTAGCATAATAATAATAATAATTTTATATTATAAAGTACAGTATATACTGTAAAAAACAAAAAAAATTGTTTAATTAATATTATTAAAMAAAATACAACACAATTATTAATGACAAGTAAAATAATTTAAATAACTTTTTATTTTTTTCTCTATTTAATTATTTCAATAATAAGATAATAAAATATTTTTGAATAAAATAACTTGCACTTAATATTTAATAAAATTGCATTATTTTATATGTAATTTTTTTAGTATCTAAAAAATAAATTAAATAAATTACTGTTATATCATTTAATTAAAATAAAGCTCAACAATGAGCCCTTAAAAATAATTATGGATATAATTTAATTATTTAGTTATAGTAAATACTATATAGTAGTAAATCACTACAATATTTTGTTTGTATTATTAATACTATAATTATTATATTCATTATCAATAATACTATTGATTAATTAATTATAATTTAATAACATTTCCAAATAAAAAACATTAATAATAATAGCAATAATTATGGAATAATTAGTTTTATTAATTATTAATTGTATTTATTATTATTATTATTACATATATATACTGTAAATTTAATATATATTTTTTATATCTATATAATATTTATAAAAATTATTTCTACAAATATTATATTTAATAATAATAATAGTATTAATATTAAATACAATATATATATACAATATAAACTAATATCAATTAGTTGACAACTTTATATATTTTTATATTATTATTATTATTATTAGTAGTAGTAGTAGTAGTAGTAGTAGTAGTAGTAGTAGTAGTAGTAGTAGTAGTAGTAGTAGTAATAATAATAATAATAATAATAATAAGCTGTAATACTACTACCACTACTACTATAAAACAAAAATATTTAAATAATTTATTATGATATATGATTTGTAGGAAAAAAATTTTTGTAGTAAATAATAATACTAAAAATCTTATAATCATTTTTTTATTAGTAGCAAAAAATTAATTAATATTTATATATAAATTGCTTAATATTTCAATTAAAATATATTTTATTAGATAYACACATAMAATGCATTTAAAGCAAACATTATTATTATTTTTATTATTTTTATTATTATTTGTTCAATAATTTTTCGTAATCTTAAAATATTATAAACTAAATAATCATATGTTTTGTGTATTAATAATAATTATTAAAAAAAATAATTAATTGTTTTTTCTATTATTTAAAAAAATGTTTGTAAAATATACTTTTAAAAATTAATTTATTAATTTTATAATAATTTTGTTGTTGTTTAGTAATATTACTTAATTTGTTTTGTTTAAAATTTTTGAAACAACACAAAATAGTTTAAATCTATTTTTATATTTTGTTATTTATTTTGTGTATATAAAAAATATATATATATAATTACTTATTTATATATATATTAATGTCTATATCATCATAAAAAATGGCTATTGAAACCACATTAGATATTAATGATAACAATAGCAGTGCCAATAATAATACTACTAATAATAATAATAATGATAAAAATAATAAAAAACCAAAATTTTCATTTAATTGTTTGCCAAAATTTGGCAAAAAGAAAAAAGAGGTATGTTAAAAACTTTATTATTATTTTTTATAAAATTTTTTAAGTTAAAATTATTTATAAATATATATATACACTAACTGTATTGTAATAATAAGCTATTAAAAAGTATATATATATTTTTAGGTAAATATTTAAATTAATTATTATTATTATTATTATATAAGTTATAAATATTTTAAACATATTTATTGTATTTATTAATAATTTAGTTATTCAAAAAATAAATAGAAATATAATWATTTATTTATTTAAAAATTAAGATACAAATTATATATTATTAACAAACAAAAAATTTAATTAACAAATAATAATAGGAAATATTAAAATAAATAAATTATTATAATTAATGAAAATAATTATAAATTCAATTAACTGATTATCTATTTATAACTAACCCCTCCATCTAACCCCCACTAACCTATCCATCCTATATATATATATATATATATATTAATTACTTATTATTATTATTACAACTCAACTCATTGAACCTACCTATACATCCCACCCACCCATACACTTAATCCCCTTACCCGTCCACCCACACACCCGCCCACCACTAAACTAGAAAACAGAGGCCCAYGATCTGGATATATCAAAAGAGTTGACCATCAAAGAGCACATGTACTCRTTGGARGAGYTGGTACAACAATTGCAAACCAATTTAGACAATGGCCTAACAGATACCGAAGCTCAGCAACGGTTTCAACGGGACGGTCCCAACGAGTTTTCCAAACCTAAACTGACACCATCGTGGGTACTGTTGCTCCGGGAGATGACTACCGGGTTTGCCATTATTATCTGGTTGGCAGCGCTGGCCAGTTTGATATGCTATTTCATAACATGGACACAACAATATGTATGTATATACCAGTAGTGGTAGTAGTAGTAGTAGTAATAGTAGCTAAAAAATTTTTAAAAATTATTTATTTTAGCTAGCTTAATATTTATTTATTTTTTAAAAAAATTATATTAATATAGATAAATTATTTTTGTTTAATTATTATTTTTATAGACTAGTTAATATAACTAAACTAAACTATTTAAAAAAAATATTAATTTTTATACATTTAATATATTTTATAAACAAGTTTAATACACCATTAGTGTATTAATATGTATTGAAAATATTAATACAATTTTAGCAAAAAATGGGTTTTAATTAAATTATAATAATTTTTATTGAATTATAGTTTTAATATTTTTTTTTGCTAAGTTAGCGAAGATATATATATATATATATATATATATTTTAATTTTATTTTAGTTTATAATTTTATAATAAATTTATTTATTTTTTAAAAATATTACAAACTGTAACAGGTTAATTGAAATATTTTAGTAAAGGTTATATAAAAAAATATTTATAAATAATAATAGATTCAACTTGACAACGCGATTTATTATCAATAAAAAGTTAATTTTTGTTTTTTTTAATAACAAAAAACAAATATTAACTAGCTTATTATTAGTTTTCATTCAACAAAAAAAAACTAAAAAAACACTAATTTAATTATTAATTAAGTTAATAAAATTTGTATATTATATTTGTTTTTTATTTATTTTTTTTTTTAAAAAATCATCTAGTTAATTTTGGCTGTAGTACTAGCACTGGTAGTATTGATAACTGGTATCTATTCGTTTTCACAACAAATGAGTAGTTCAAAGATATTTGAATCGTTCAAAAATATGGTACCACAGGTATGGCTATAAATGTGTGGGTGTGTGTATGAATATCTGTGTGTGTGTGTGTGTGTGTGTGTGTTTCTGTATGTGTGTATTTGTATATATGTGTGTGTATATATAAGTGTGTATATAAGTGTATATAAATGTGTCTGTATGTGTCTATCTGTATGTGTGTGTGTGTGTATGTGTGTATTTGTATGTGTTTGTAGCATTATATGTGTATCTGTATGTATGTTTATATATGTGTTTGTGTGTGTGTGTGTGTATCTGTATGTGTGTGTGTGTGTGTGTATTTGTGTGTGTGTGTGTTTATATATGTGTTTGTGTATGTGTCTGTTCTAGAAGGTTGATAGTTGTACGTGTGGATATGTGAGTATGAGTGTGTGTGTATGTGTAGGTGTGAACATGTGTGTGTGTGTGTGTGTGTGTGTGTGTATTTGTGTAGGTGGGTGTAGATACCTATCTAGGTATTTACCAAATTAATACAATAACTCAATCTGAATATCGCATCAATTAATTATCCAGCAAACAGCTGTCATACGCAATGGTGAACGCAAAGAGGTACCGGCAAACCAACTGGCCATCGGTGATCTGGTCTATTGTAAATCAGGCGATCGTATACCGGCAGACATACGTATTATCAAATGCGAGGCCATGAAAGTGGACAACTCATCACTAACTGGTGAATCGGATCCATTGTTGCGGTCGCCCGAAGTCGGCCATCCGAATGCATTGGAGTCGAAAAATTTGGCATTTTTTTCGACCAACTGTGTCGATGGTAGCGGCTATGGCGTAGTCATATCTATYGGTGACAATACCGTAATGGGTAAGATAGCTAAACTRGTTACTGGKATCGGYCGGGAAAAGACACCGATAGCCATCGAAATCAGTAGRTTYACGAAAATCATAACCACTATTGCCATCGGAAACGGTGTCCTATTGTTGGTCATATGTCTGGCATTTCGTATGCGTTTTATTGATTCATTGCTATTAATGATTGGCATAATTGTCGGTAATATACCCGAAGGTATGTCTGATTTTATTTTTTGGTACTAAATATTAGTTATATATTGTATTTAATAACAAAAAAAATTGTTATTTAATTTAAATTTAATTATATATATATATATATATATTTTAATATCTTATGTTTTAAAAAACTATTAATAAATAGATTAATAAATTATTATTTTTAAAAATATAATTAGTTATTATAATTATTATGTATTAATTAAAGTATTATAGTTATATATAGATATATTTAATATATTAATATAATATTTTGATTTACATAATAATAATAAATTAAAATATAWAAAAAAGTTATTATAATAAATCAATTTTYAAACTGTATAAAAATAATTTATATATAAATTAATATTTAAATATATATAAGTTATTACTATTTATAGAWATAATTTTGAATTRARATTTAATTTTATATATATTATTAATATATATAAATAAAATAATATAACTAAACAATAGTTTTCAGTTATTTATTGTGTTTTATTTTTATATTACAATATTATTAAATAAAATTAATATACTTTTACTTGTATTATAACAAACAGGACTATTACCGGCATTGACTGTAGCCCTGACCCTAACAGCCAAACGTATGGCCGGACGTAACTGTTTAGTCAAATATCTGGAAGCTGTCGAAACTCTAGGGTCGACATCAACRATATGTTCGGATAAAACGGGAACACTTACACAAAATCGTATGACTGTCGAGCACTGTTATGTCGGCCAGCAAATCATACGTGTATCRCATGTCAGGGATGAAGTTGATCAGGAAATGTCCGACATTCAGGACACATGGCTGGCGTATAGYCGATGCGCACAGTTATGTTCGCGATCAGAGTTTACCGACGATAACCCAGATATTATGAAACGTGTTGTGGCCGGCGATGCATCSGARACGGCTATTTTGAAATTTATGGAATCAGTCGGYMGKCAGCCGGTTATGGAGTATCGGAAACAGTGGCCAAAAATGGCCGAACGTCCGTTTTCGTCGACWACGAAATAYCAGTTTTCCATTCACCGTAACCCACGRCCCGATCCGGGCGTAAACAATCATTTTGTATTGTGTATGAAAGGTGCACCCGAACGTATCATTAAACTATGCTCGTCGATAGCACTGGCCAATGGCCARACRGTACCGATAACATCGGGCGATTATGTCGACCGATTTGAGACCGCCTAYCGTGAATTGGGATCAATGGGCGAACGTGTACTGGCTTTTTGCGACCACGAGTTCACYCAGTTTCTGCCCGACCATCAGTTTGATTTGGACAACAATGCCGATGAGATCCAATTGGATGGTTTCCGGTTTCTGGGACTGGTAGCCCTTATCGATCCGCCCAGGTATGTTATATATATATTATTGTGTTTTATTGATTAATAAATATATATTATTAATTAGATATACTGTTATGTCTATGTTATTGTATATACAGTATACTAATTGWTGTTATATTAATTGTTAAATCATTTATACTGTATGTGTGTGTTTAGGKGGAGTATATTTGTTATGTTTATRGMMATTGAAGTTTTGAACTATWAATTAATTTTAATTATGATTAAAATTAGTTAATTTTATTTTCTAGATTAATATATAATATAATAATATAATTACGATGCTTAATGATGATTAACTAAATAATTATTATAGAAAATAATTGAATTTAGTAATAAAAAAACAAACAAAAAATTATAAAACTTATAATAAGTAAATTTTAATTCACACTAAATTAAAATTTAATTAAAACAAATTAATATGATTATGTTAATTTAATACATTATAAATTTACAGTTTATATTACCTAACAAAAAACATAACATAATACTTATATATTTAAAATTTATATTAAATTAAAAAGTTTTATATTTAGTTTTGTAATAAATTTAATTATAAATTAATATAAAATATTTAATTATATTAACATTATATACATATATATATCAGACCTACCGTTCCCGATGCTGTCGGCAAATGTCGTACGGCTGGCATCAAAGTTATTATGGTTACCGGCGATCATCCGATCACCGCTCAGGCCATTGCCAAAGCTGTCGGTATATTCACCGAATCTCATCGACGATCGACCAAAATTAGCGAACCGACCATCGATCCGGTTGGCCGGGGAAATACAGCATCGATTGTAGTACCGGGCGATGAACTTAGTCAGCTCACCGATCGACAGTTACAACAAATATTGAACGACTATCGGGAGATAGTGTTTGCCCGGACATCACCCCAACAAAAGCTCCGGATTGTCGAAAATTGTCAATCGTTAGGACAAATAGTTGCCGTCACTGGCGATGGTGTCAACGATTCGCCGGCACTCAAGAAAGCTAATATCGGTGTGGCTATGGGTATAACAGGTAAGGAGGGGGGGTGGGGGTTGCAGTTAATTAATTAAATTTTTTTTTAATTATTATTATTATATACTTTTATATATATATATATATATATATATATGAAAATTTTTGATGCTTAAGATTAAAAAATTGTAATTTAATAAATAGTTTTAATTAATTAATTAATATTAATATACTATTTACTTTATTTTATATCAAAATTATTTCTAGTTATTAGTAGTTATTTTTAGTTAGAAAATTGTGTGTATTTAAAAAAAATTAATTACTTAATTAATTAAGTTTTTTTGTTTTTATAAGTAAGCTAACTAATTACAATATTATTATTATTAAGTAATTTATATATAAATATAACTGATAATTTTTTAAAAAAAATAGCAATTAGATTTATTATTAAATTAATTTAACAATTAAGTTAAATTATATATATATACCGTATATTATTTATAATCTATATGTAATTATTATTGGATGTTATTATTACTAATATATTTTTGATGTTTTATTTGAAATAAAACTGTAAATTTATAAATACCATAGATTAAATGGATACATTTTAGCTAATACTAATTATAATTATTAGGATCAATATTTTCATTTTAATTTCTAATTAAAAAAACATTATTTTTATCGTAATTGCTAACTAATAAATTTTTTAAATATACTCAATTAACTTTTTTTAAGTTAGCTAGGTAATTTAATTATTTATTAGTATATTAGTATATTAGTATATTGTATAATAGCAACAATTTATTTTTTTAATAATTAAAAACAAACTTAATAATTCTAGCAAATAGCAATTAAATTAAAATTTATATTTATTATAAACTGTAAACTAATAAATACTATAGATTTTATGGATATATTTATAACTAATAATTGATATAAATATTAGCTTAACAACTTATGTTTATTATTTAAATAAAAAAATAATTTAAGTAAATTACTAACTTATTAGTATTTTTATTAAATAGTTTAAAATTTTTTAAAATTTAATTTATTATAGAAAAAAACTAATAATAAAAAATCATAACATAATAGACACAAAATCTATTTATTTTTTATATACAATATTAAATCACTATATATTTATTTTTATTAGTAATTCAATAAAAATATAATTAGKTTAAAAAAAATAATTAACATTTTATTATTATAATTAATTAATTATTTATTTATTTATTTATTTATTAAGGATCGGATGTATCGAAACAAGCTGCAGATATGATACTATTGGACGACAATTTTGCGACAATAGTAACGGCCGTAGAGGAGGGTCGGCGTATATTTGATAATATGAAAAAAACCATCGGCTATATACTGGCCGGTTCGGTSACTACACTCTAYCCGTTCATGATATTCGTTATATTCGGCTTTCCCATAGCTATCGGTACCATAACTGTACTGTTGATAGCCTTGGGTACCGATATGCTGCCGGCCATATCGTTGGCCTACGAAAAAGCTGAATCCGATATTATGAAACTGKCGCCCCGTAACCCGCGTACCGATGTTCTGGTCACTCGTAGTCTACTGTTGCGRTCGTACTTTCAAATCGGTGTCATTATGTCWTCGGCCGGTTTTTCGGCTATTTTACAGCACTCATACATTACGGTTGGAAACCATGGGATTTGTTTCAATTGMGGGCCCAATGGGATAGCGATATACTGATGAACGACTCGTATGGCAATCCATGGGTTAGTAGACTATCTCTCTTTCTCTCTCTTTCTCTCTCTTTCTCTCTCTTTCTCTCTCTTTCTCTCTCTCTATCTGTCTCTCTCTCTGTCTCTCTCTCTTCTCTCTCTCTCTCTCTCTCTCTCTCTCTCTCTCTTTATCTATCTGTCTCTCTCTATCTGTCTCTCTCTCTATCTGTCTCTCTCTCTCTCTCTCTCTCTCTCTCTCTCTCTATCTGTCTCTCTCTCTCTCTCTATCTGTCTCTCTCTCTATCTGTCTCTCTCTCACTCTCTCTTATTAAAAAAATTTTTGACTTTTATAACCTCCCTGTMCTCCCAATCATTTTTTAATTAGACTCAAGAGGAACGGTCGAAAATTTTGATTATAGCCCAAAGTTCATACTTTATATGTRTAGTTGTCTGYCAATGGATKGATGTTATTGTATCSAAAACTAGAAGGGTTTCAATATTTACACAACTGATGGGGTAATCATTATAATAATAATAATAATAATAATTTTATTTATTTATTTTTTATCTAAAAATAAGTACTATTTTTGTTAGTTTAAAATAAAAATTAATGGATAACTAAAAAAATACTAATATTTTTTGTTTTTACACTTTATAGCAATTGGGTACTAAATTTTAGTATACTTTTTGAAACTGCCCTGGCTTGTTTATTTATTTATACACCCGGTTTCAATACTGTATTACAATTAGCACCAGTTATTGGTATAGTAAATATATTTTTCACACATATACATACATACATACACATACACATACACATACACATACACATACACATACACATACACATACACATACACATACACATACACATACACATACACATACACATACACATACACATACACATACACATACACATACACATACACATACACATACACATACACATACACATACACATACACATACACATACACATACACATACACATACACATACACATACACATACACATATTTGTTTATTAATTTACATAACTATTAACAAATTTAATGTATATATGTATATATATATAATATTATATTATTTTTATTTTATATGCTATTTTCGGTTTGGATATCGGTTTGGGTATCTCTCTCTCTTGGTGTTACAGGTTGGGTATGGTTATGTGGTGTACCATTTTTCTTTTATATACTAATCTATGAGGAGTTACGTAAACTAGTTATCCGAAAATATCCCGACTCCTGGTTGGCCCAGGAATTGCTTATTTAATAATATAATTATTTTTTTTAATTATTTTTAATATAAATATATAATAATAAGTATAATATTGATAATATTGATAATGCACTATTATTTATTTATTTTTATCATCATTATTATTTTTTTAATTATTAAATTTTTAGTAGTATTAGTAACTTTTTTTATTATTAATATTATTTTTATTATATATAATATATACTAAATATTTTTGTTAGAAAAATTACTATTTTGTTTATAATATAAAATTTTTAATATATTGTAGTAATTTCTAATTATAATTATTTATTAATTATTAATTGTTAAATATGCGCTTATTTTGTGTAAATAAAAAATTTAAATATTATGAAAAAAATTAATTAATTAATTAATTTTTATTACATAATTTATTTTATTGAAATAAATTTAGTTATACTTAACTACTATTTATTATTATTATTATTATTACTTTTAAATAATATAAATTAAAGTATCGATGATACTGTATGACTAAATTATATTTTATTTTAAATTGAATAAAATATATATAAAAATAAATAAATTTAATTGTTTWATAAATATTAAATCAAATTAGATAATTAAAAAATAWTATTAATTAATATTTTGTTGTYTTAATTAGAAAAAACTGTAAACTAATAAATACTATAGATTTTTATKGRTATATTTAATGTAATAAATAATTTTTTAAAATAGCTGATTATTAATTTAAWTAAATAATATTATTTATTTTATTTAATATTATAATATTAAATAATAATAAWTTTTTTTAAAAAAAGWGTTAMAATTTATCATTGTATTATTGTATAAAATTTTACWCTCAAAAGTCATAATAACTTAAAAATCATTATAAATAATACTAATTAATATTATTTTTTTATTTAATATTATAATATTAAATAATAATAAATTTTTTTAAAAAAGTTTTTAAATATATAAAATTTTACTGTAAACTAATAAATACTATAGATTTTTATGGATATATTTAARGTTAAAAATAACTATATTTAGACTAACATGTTTTATTTGTTATTAGTTTATTTTATTATAACATAATAATAATAATAATAATAATAATAATTTTTGAAAAGTTAATACTATTGAACTATATGTTAACAAAATATCATATTTAATTTTATAAAAATTTTAAACTTTATTATATTAAAGTATTATTTATTAGTAATAAATGCTAATTAAATTTGTTTTGTTTAAATATTTGCAACTAAAAAAATTAATCTAATTTTATTTWATTTTTTATTTWTTTTTTAARTTTATGTTAGTTTTTCCACAATAAATYATTTAATATATAATAGATAAATTGATATATAAAAAATTGTTAAAATTTAATAATTTAATCGTAATTTAACTATATTTCAATTATTGCTAAAATTATTATTWWAAAAAAATCTAACCAAAAATWTATTTTTATAAAAATGATTAATTAAAAAAACTCATTAAATTAAAATAATTAGTATTTTAAAATAGTAGTAAAAATTTAAATAATACAATAAACAAAATATTTTTATATAATAAATAATTATTTTTAAACAAAATAAAACTCACTTTATTTGCCGGTAATTAACAAATTTAGTCTCAGTTTTGATTCAATTAGTGTTTGAAAACTATATATTATTTAATAACAAATATGTTTTGATATAATTTTTCAAATAACTTTCAACAATTGTTTCAATAATAATAATAATAATAATAATAATAAATATATTTTTAATAAATATACTGAAAGTTGCATTATTTTATGTAATATTAAAACACACACACAAAATAAATATTGTTATATCATTTAATTAATAGAAAATCCTGAAATATTTTTTTTGGATATAATTATTATTAGTTTTATTATTATTATTATTATWWTATTAATTACAGTAAATCCTGGTATATATCCYTTAATATAATTTTTTTTGTATATTTATATTATTATTAAGAATTAKTTATAATTTAATAGCATTTCCACTAAAAAAAACATTAATTATAATAATAATTATCATTATGTAATAATTTAGTCAATGAATTATTCAATTATATTTATTACATATAAGTTTTATATTTAATAATAATAATTATCATATTTTTTATTAGTAGCAAAAAATAAATAATATTTTAATATAAATTGCTTAACATTTATACAATATAGTTATTTTACATTATATTACAATTAATTTAAAGCAATYTATTTATATTATTTTATTTTWATTTTGTAATAATRTTTTTAACATTTAAATTTTTAGTATATTGTACAGTAAATAATTTTTTTTATATAAATGTACTAGTTACTTTTATACTAAATATAATCTATTTTTTWATTTAAATTTATATTAATATTATTTATTTTATATGATATACAGCATTAAAGATATATTAATAAACAACAACAACAAAAATTATAATAAAATTTTAAAATTTATTAACTTTTTTTTCAAATTAAAAAAATTTAATTATTTAATAATAATATAAATTATTAAACTATTTTATTAAGTATATTTTGCAAACATATTAGACTATATCATCACAAATAAAATGACTAATAAAAACTCATATAATATTAATAATGATAAAAACAACAAYAATAATAATAAACAAAAATTTTCATTTAATTGTTTTGGCAAAAATAAAAAAGAGGTATGTATTATAATTTTATATATATAACTTTATCAATAWATAWATATATAWATATATATATATAAATATTTTTTTATCAATATAAAATAGTTTACAGTTAATTTTAATTAATTAGTTAAAACAATAGATTTTACATATTTAAACAATARCAAAATATTTTTTATTATAATTAATTGAATTAAATTATTTTCTCAAAACATTATAAATTAATATAGTTAACTATTAAATATAATAATTAAACATACAATGTATTTTAAGTATTATTATTATTATTAAAATAATCAATTAATACACTAGTAATTATAGTATTAGTTAAAAAAAATTATTATAATTATGTTGAATTAAATTAAATTATTTAACTGAAAAAAATATTAAAAATTATTAGTTAATTAAATTAATAAATATTTTTCTCCAAAAATAACTATTAAATACTATTTAAAAACACATATTAATTACTTATTATAAAATCATTACTATTATTATAACAATTTAATCCATTGAACCTATCTATACATCCCACCTAACTACCCACCCACACACACACACACACTTAACTCCCGCCCCCMTAGAAAACAGAGGCCCATGACTTGGATCTATCAAAAGAGTTGACCATCAATGAGCACATGTATTCATTKGWTGAATTAKCGGAACAATTGCAAACCAATTTAGACAATGGCCTAACAGATCCGGAAGCTCAGCTCAGGTATCGTAGGGACGGTCCGAATGARTTTTCCAAACCTAAACTGACACCATCGTGGATACTGTTGCTCCGGGAGATGACYACYGGGTTTGCCATTATTATATGGTTGGCATCGTTGGCCAGTTTGATATGCTATTTCATAGTATGGAAACAGGAATATGTATGTGTATCTAAAAGTGTATCTTTTAAAAAATWATATAATAATAATAATAATTAATTATTATTTAATTTTTATAACTAGTTTATTTCTAGTACTCTCATTCAAAAYTATTAGTATATATATATAGATTATTAAATTTAAAAAAAAATTGAACTAGCTTAATTTAATTACTTAAATTATATTTATAAATATAWATATWAAAAATAAATAAATAATAATAATAATAATAATTAATTATTATTTAATTTTTATAACTAGTTATTTGTTATTATTATTGCTCTMTCATTAAAAAATAATTAGTATAAAAAATTAATAAATTTAAAAAACAAAAATTTATAAACTACCTTAATTTAATTACTTAAATTATAAATTATAAAAATAATTTTATTTTAAATATCAATTCATAAAAAAAAACTTTAAAACTCTAAAACAATTGTTATTGTTTAGTATTGTATAGATTTTGATATGTATTAAAAATATTTTTAATTATAAATAGTTTATAAATTTAAAACTATCTATTTATTTTTTTTTAAATTATCTAGCTAATTTTGGCTGTAGTACTAGCACTGGTAGTTTTCATTACTGGTATCTATTCGTTTTCACAACAAATGAGTAGTTCAAAGATATTTGAATCGTTCAAAAATATGGTACCACAGGTATGACTATAAATGTTTA